TTACAAATGCAGCACATACAATCATATGTTTAATATTTAAATGTATATTAAATCGAGAAAGCAAATATCTCAGAGCTGCTACACAAAACCAGACAAATGACACCTTATACGTTTTTCATTACATACACCCACACCATCTATATTACCATCGTGTGAGAATCACTTGCAATACCAGGTCATTCGTACATACGGTGTGATATCACAGGAAATGTCGTGTGATAACCTTAAAAATACAGCATGTCAAACAGAAAGTACGGGACTCGAATCAAGGGCGCCTACGGGGCGTAAGGGATGGTGAGCACCCCCCCCCCTATGCATAATTTCGTGCCGCCGTATCTCGTATGTTGTCCTCAGTTAAACTACAATAAGCTCAAGGTCGTAATTTGAAAGGCAAGAATGGAAACGGCCAAAATATGTTTCCTTCAACGAATTATACACAATAAGTAAACAGTAAATGCAAAATGATATTTGCTCTATACTAGATTTTCAATTTGCAAGGTGAAATGTACATATCATTATCATTAAGCTGTATTTGTGTATAAAACCATAACAATTTCAATACAGTTAGTGTGTACTTACCGATACTCGTAATCAGAAGAGATGATATTGATATTAAATCTTTGTAAAGTAACATATGACACTGTAGTATTATATGCCAACAAACAAAGCAAATATCCCAAAGCTGCTACAAATAAAACAGACAAAAAAACAGACAAATTACGCCTTTGATGTGTTCCATTACAGGCACCCAAACCAACCATATTATCAACGTGACGGAATATAATTAGTATTTGAGAATACCAAAATCAACCCTACATATGACGCGGTAGCTTAGGGATTATCATATAATTACCGTTCATCAAACATAAGTTACGGGACTCGACAGTAAATGAGACACGCCCCCTGCCAGACCGAACACACCGTCATGTTCCACCATGGTTACGCTGTGCCCTCATAGGTTGCATACTCGTTGTAATTCACGACTAGACCCACCGTGTACAATCTATTCTCGGATGTAGTAAAATTGGTTTATCTTAATCGGGAAGAACACATTATGTATTTGATATAATCGGAATTCGCGTTTTTGTCTTACTTTTGATATGCAACCCAAATTTACAACAAAGTGTATGTGAAAGTGGATATTATTATGCTTGGTGTTATCACTGTATAATCAACCAAAATATGTTGATCTCAATTGATACATTTAAGCGTGGGCATGAATATAATGAGTTAATTGTAAATGCAGTATGCTAGGATTTAATTTTCAACGTAGTTTGTTTGTAGGCTGGTTGGCGTTCCGCTTCGCTCAAAAAACAACAAACATGTTTTCGGCTGTTGCCATGGTAGGGACATGAACGTAAAGCTATCGTCGATTTATAACAAATACCGGCGCCCCGTATACGAAACATTCAGTCTTCAGAGCTGGAGTCACTTATCACTGGCGCGTATTTTGCTCTTATAATTATTATTTCCGATCGTTTTGCGATTGTATTTGAATTTCCAGATTCTTTGATTGAACACAGCATTTACAGCTCATTCAAAATTGCACTGGGTTGATCCGCTGATACAGTGTATCAATGTTCGCGCCGGTGATCTGTCGTCGGTGCGCAAGTTAGCCAAAATAAAATACATGACCATTTGAAAACAATACTGGTACGAGGTAATACATTCGGGGCGAAAATTTGTAATTACTGATGCAACGTTATAAATTCACATCCCACTGAACTTATCCAGTGTGGTTGTGTAACATAAAGAAAATCATATGTTTTAGAATAGTTTTACCACTCTAGGTCACGTGTACCATTGTTCTAAGCGTTCATTTATTACTGTAACACCTATTGTTCTTGTGCAGATTAGTAAACATTCACGGTTACATTCAAATTAGTAAACCTTACAGTTTTGTCAATAACTTAATTAACATATGAATACAACTGTAAGGTTTATTAATTTGATATGCAAGATGCGCGCAAATTTTACATATAGCATTGGTTGCATTGTTTGTTTTGTGTTGTTTACCAAACGTTTCGCGTTTTTGTTTTTCAAAATATTATATTATTTTATCTTTTTTTCCATATTGATTTTTTTTTAAATTTTTTTTTTAATTTATTTTTGAAATTGTTACTTTTTGTTTCATTCATTTATATCGAGTTTGGTTATTTTTATAAGTATTTCTAATTTGCTTGTATGTTTATTTTTGTTTTATTTTTCAGTATTTTTCATTTGCATGTTTTTTCTTTGTCAGACTTATTTTGTTGCAGCCTTTTTATTTCAAGCATTTCCCAGTCTAATATTATTTAACTATTATTTTTTATATTTTAGTTTTTGAGTCTTTGCAGTTAGTGTGTCTGTCTGTCTGTCTGTGTGTCTGTGTCTGTTCCATCGATATCTCAAGAAGCTTGTCTGGGGCAATACGCAGATTTGGTTAGTTTTTTGGTTGACATTCATGCATATTAATCAGCTTATGTGCATGTGAATTTTAAACTATTTCAGTTATATCTCAAGAAGTATTAAAACGATTTTTATGTAACTTGGTAAGAATGTTACTAATGATTGGCTGCTGCAATTTATTGTTGTATTTTACATTTTAATTAAAATTTAGCATTTTTTATGCATTTTTTAATTATTTTTTTTTCTGCCCAATTGCATGAATACAACTAATAGGAATCGGTGAGTGGACTAATTTGCATAATGATGCTCATCCGTATTCTATTTTTTTATGAGCAGCAATTTATGATGGTGTCAGCCATTTTGTTATTTCCAGTGTGTTGTACAAAAACGAAGCAAGCGCTCGGGAGGTGAAATGTATCAGTTTACATTATGAAAAGGTCTAAGAAATTACATGTATGATTTGTTATTATCGTATAAGTAAATAAATAAATGAGTAATTGGAACAAATGTATAACCTTAATGACTGTGAAACGAATTACTGTGCAAGCTAGATTACATTCACGCGTGGTGTACAATTACATTCAAGCCACGGAACATTGAACCCTGTGTGAGCCCAGTCAAGAAAATAACGAATGTGAGATTCATCATCGCCAAAACCATGGCAGTGTTGAAGATGTGAAAATGGTTGGTAGGTTCGATGTCATGGTAAAATGTTGTGTAAATTCGTTGTACTTGTGAATCCTGAAATTTACATAGTTGTTCTTGCTACTTTACGTTTTCCGTGTTAACTAAATTTCTAAAATATTTTTAAATGACCTATAAGTTTATTTTGGGCATTTATTTGTTTACTATTTTCGTTGCCTTTCATTTTCCCCAATGTTTTATGAAATATTTCAGTTTTCTTTTTAATGTTTCAATTTTGTGTAGACTTTTTATGCATATTTTTAAGTAGGCTTATTGTAGGTATACGATGTCTATGTGTGTAGATGGCTACTGGTGGCTCCTTATTTAATAGATTATTCATAATTTGTTTATCATTTTCAAATATTCCCGAATATTACATCATGATCCCTATTCCCTCAGCACACGGGAGTTCTTTCTAAGCTTTCTTTGATCAATTGTTATTTCTAGATGTAATATTTTGATTTGGGGGAAAAGGCTATGAAATTCTGTTTATTATTCTGTATGATAGAATATTTTTGCAACATTTGGCGCGACGTAGTACCACACCGTCGCCCGAACAGCTACATAAAACACAGTTCTCTATTGAATTGAACTAAGACATTTCTATAATTGAAATTGAGCCGTATCTTCTCTCGGAAATCGTGAATTGGTTTCAAAAATGAAATGTGGTGTATTCCTTCAATATCTACGTTAATTTGCGCAACCCTGTAAACCAGCTTTATCGGCCAGGCATTCTCTATTGTGGGACTAATGCTACTGAAATTGAAATTACATTTTTGTAGCAATTCCAGTTTATAATTTAGTATTTATTTTAAAATAGAAAAAAATGCTCATCAGATTAAAAATTACTCATAGTATAGTAAAAAAAATCAACATTAATCACTTACCTATTAATGCAGCAATTATAAATAGTCTACAACTATTATGTGACCAGATGCTAATATACATTAAAATAGCACCCCTCGTACAATTAAATCTACAAAATAAGTATTGTATTCAAACGATACAAATTTACTGTTTTACAATGACAGATACTATATTTTCAAATATCGCCATCACAGGTATAACATCGAGAAT